GCAGCGGTAATGTGTAGCCTGCATAACTAACTTGTAAACTGCCCAGAGAGTGCTTGAAGCGCTATGTGGCGGTATATACGCAGCACGCTTTGCTTTTGCATTGCTTTAGGATGACACAGGTAGTCAGTTTCATAACAGTTTTGCAGAGATTAGCACCTGCTCTGGAAATGTCTATGTAAACTTCAAATAATACACAAAAATCATCTGTTCCTTGGAGTAATGCAAGCAGGTCTACCTTGTAGGTGAGAAGGCTGTTGCTTACTCCTGAATAAACATGTATAGAATTCAGCTAAGAAAATGTTTGGATCAAGAATTATACTTGGCTGCAAGGTTCCAAGGAGCACGCAGTACGCTCTGCTTAAAGGTGTGCACCTGTGTGGGTGCCTCTGCCCCCCCCCCCGTGCAGTCTTCCTCCTCCTCCATGCACCAATTGTTTTCAGCCCCTTTGGACCCAGTTGCAGTGGAACCCCGTGGGGTGGTGGTGGAAATCATTCACATATGGGGGCAAAGCCAAACGCGCGAGGGGCAGAGCCCCACCCAGTGGGACTGAAAATTAGAATGTTGCTTGGCTGTGCTCTTGGTCCCACTCATCCATGTTGGAAATCAGTTTCAAAACCCTTCTCAAATTAAAATTCAACTCTTGGACCTAGTTTATATTTGATTAGATATAGTTATTCTATTATGGCTTTTGCAAGACTGATAAAGCATTAACTTGTGTAGATTCTTGTTTTTTGTTCTGAAATAATGTTTATTTTTCTCTGCACCTAGAACATCTCATTGCCAGCTATATTCAACATTCTCTCCACAAAACCTGTCCTCAACAAGGTAATATTTTTATTAGTCTTGCATGTTTATTTGAACTACAACCTGGTGAGCCTGATTTTGCTTGCCCCAGTTTGTTTTAACCTGTGTTGCTTTTCATTACATATATTCAGTAGTTTTGCTCCTGCTTATCTAGTGGTATTTAAGGCCAGAGTTGGTTGGTGGGACAGAGAGGCTAAAGAGTAGAGCCTAGCTTGTCAACTCCGGAGGCTTCTCTCCCATTAGAAAGCTGTGAGATACGGAAGTTGAATTACTTCTTCTTTACTGTTTATTTCAATTCTCCTTGGGAGCTAGGAAAGTTGAGAAGAGTTTATACCTTCAATCAAATACCCCTGCCTACAGCTGTTATGGTGTACCATGTTGGCACCACAGATAGAAAATATGGCTGGTGATTGCTCCCTTTAATATCTTTCCTTCCTGGTAGGGAAACTGGCATGTCAGATGAGCAGTTAGATCTTCTCTATGGCATAATAGTCTTCTACCTGTGTCAGGATTTTTCTTTTTACCAGGACCACCCTTCAGATATGTTTTCCCATTGATTCTTCTAAATGCATGAACCAGGTTGCCTGGAGGTGTTAAACATCTTCATGCACTGCCCTCAGCAGCTTCCAGGTTTCAACAGATAGTTATTGGCTACCTCCAGGTGGGTGAAAAGCCAGGCATTATATATGACGATTGTGTGTACTGCGGGCAGTATTGCATGCAGATACTGAGAAATTAAAAGCTCTGTTGTGCTGCATGTAAATGCCCTGTATAATTTACCTAAGGCACAATATCTGTAGATACTAAGTAGTCCTAAAACAGACCTACCTTTTAAAAAGCAATTTATTTGACAACATTAGCACATTTTCTTGACATTTTTTCCAATGGACTTCACTTTTTATATACAACTCTTCTCGTTTAGTTGACTGTGTCTACAACATTGTTGGAGGTTTCGGAAGGCCACATAGAAAGTTACCTGAGGGACTGCCCGACTCCTTGTAGTCCCTGGTGAGGATTTTCCTGTGGAATTAGATTGAAGTGAGATGGATGCTATCCCTGGATAAAGAAGGCTGACACTGCCAAGAGCTTCTGTAGCCTGCTGTGGTTTACGAAACAGCCTTCTAGGCCTGTGTGCATCTCAACCAGTTGCAGCTCAAACAACCAAATTGACAAGTTGGGACCCTTTCTTAAGATCCTGCTTTCAAATGCCTACTGTTTATGTATGAAAAGTAAAACAGTTAACTTTGGATCCCTGTTTCTTTATCCTACACGTTTACTTGGAAGATAAATCCCACTTTGTTAAGAGAAGCTTATTTCCAAGCTTAGCATGCATAGAATTGTAGTCTGAGGGAGAGGGAGGCTCGAAAACGGCACGCCACCGATTCCAGCTACAGTTTTCAAGGCATGGGTGCCTAATCTGGAACATAGGTAACACAAAGAGCTTCAGCTCTTGGTGTTCTTGGCCAGCATTCCCTATCTCCTTGTTCCTCTGCCCTCTATTCTGCAGTTTTGTAAATTAGAAGGGAAATCATGTGAAAGCACAGGGAATCAATTGTGTTTGCAGTAACATCTGCATTGAACTGAACTTCTCTTGGGTGGTACAGTTGCTAAAATTTGGGACACCATTGCTTTTCCTAGTAACTAACCAAGGTTATGAATGTTTCAATACTGCTAGTCAGTATTAAGATTGTACCTTTCACATGTTCTTAATCATTTTACAATAAAAATACTAAGGAGGAAGTAATCTGTCATCTTGTAATTTCTTGAAGAAAATAAGATAATTGCTATGATCAATGTTTAAATACTGGCTTTGTATTCACTTGCTATACATTACAGCTTGTGATCAGTCCTACATCCCATTCATTTCTGTGAACTGGTATCATCCATGTACTCAAAACATACCAAAAGAGGATCATGTGGAAGTCATTTACTTCTTTGGGTGTTTCCTCTAGTTAGTCTTCATCATATTACTGTATTAGTAGCACTAGGATCTGGTGTAAACGTAGGTTTTTCTTCAGAGGAAAAAAAAACAGGCAAAAATTGACATCTTAATGAGTAACAAATTGTGACTCTGAATGGTAGAAATACTGATCTTGGACGAGTAGAAAGTACAGTGGTGCCCCGCAAGACAATGTTAATCCGTTCCATTGAAATCACTATCTTGTGAAAACATTGTCTTGTGAAATGTGACTCCCCATTGGAGTGCATTGAAGTCCGTTTAATGCGTTCCAATGGGGACAAATCGTCATCGTTTTGTGAAAATCGCCCATAGGGAAGCCATTTTGTGAAGCACTGATCAGCTGATAAAATCACTGTCTTGCGAAGCATCGGTCCCGAAAACACCCGTTTTGTGAAGCGCCGATCAGCTGTTAAAACCATCATCTTGCAAAGCATCGGTCCCGGAAAAAAAGCATGTCTTGTGAACCATGGCCTGAAACATCGTATAGCAAAAATCGCCTATAGGAAAGTTTTGCGAAGCGCTATAGCGATCGCAAAAACGCATCGTCATGCTGAGTCGTTTTGCGAGGTAATCGTCTAGCGGAGCACCACTGTAGTTACAGGGAACACAAACCTGATTGAATACTAGGTCAGGCCTTTGCTTCATCCCGCCCAATATTATTAATTATTAATATAATATTATTAATTATTAATATTATTAATATTGGGCCAAAAAATATATCTGGGCCCTTTTACAGGCTCAGTAGATGCTATGCAGCCAAGCTGCAATTTCTCCACTGATACAGCTCAAACTCTACTAAAATCTAAATCCCTCTCCACAGATATTTTTATTTTTTCTGGGGTTAAAAGAATGTTGAGGGACTGGTTCTACAAATTGGATAACGACCAGGACTTAGCCTTAATTCACTCTTCAAACTTCTCAATGGCGCAATACTTACATACACTTACTTTTGCCTCCTTGAGAACCGCATTCACAGAACTCCATTTCCAAACCATGCCAACCGCTGTCTTAGACGGCAGGTATATGAATGTCCCTAAACATCTAAGGCTATGTATTTGCGGAGCAGGCGAGATAGAGGATGTTGTCCACTATTCACTCTACTGTCAGCTCTACAAAAACCCTAGCGAAAAGCTCCTGGGTAACATTTTGGCTGCTCTACAAGAGGAAAGCCCTCAGATAAATGTGGTCAGGTTACTTTCGGACTGTGACCCTTATGTTACATACCCTTATGTTTGAAAAAGTGGGCAGAAATATTCAAGCTAATTTCCTGAAAGCCATCAATTGTGCGGGGGACTCACAGATATGAAGGGTTTCTTATTTTATATGTCTGTGATTTTATTAGATCATATTTCTATTTTAAACAATTGTGAACTTGTAAACTTGAACTTGATTTGACAATTGTTTTTGGATGACAGTTGGTTAATTGATGAAAAAAGGAGTCAGGATCTAGGAATTTCTCCTGCTTGGAGACTGAAGTCACATGACTCGCTGAAGTTGGACTTAAGTTGCACTGCTGACTCAACTTGGATTTGACTCCGGGTTTTTTCAATGACTTGGACTCTACTTGAAACTCGGAACCCACCCACCCTCTTCCTTTTCTGTGTGTGTGTGGGGAGAAGCTTGTTTTTAATAGGGACTTGGGACCTGGTACCAAAGACTTGGACTCATCAACATCCCTGAGTAAGGCCATCCTCAGCCACAAAGCAAAAATCAGTAATTTCACAGCTTAAACTAGCAAGTTTCTAAATATTTTTCTGTATTCTTCTTTTAATATATATTTTAAAACATTTTCAACATCTGTATTTTTAAATATTTGTTTTATGCCCCCTTTTTTACAACCAGATATAGACTGTCCTTGCAAGCATGAGTCTGATAAATCTGTGTGGTCTGGAAGAAGTTAAAAGGTTTCTAAGAATCAGCTAACTGTATCCTGAACAATAGGGTCAAAAGTTCAAATTGCATCAGAGGTGGAGATGATTTCTTCTTTGTACATACATGTGAGGAGATTGTTCTCAGAAATCCTGAGGGAATGTTTACTGAGGGATATATGGCAAATTATCCCTATCTGGAGGACTATCACTAATTTCTTTAAAGTAAACCTATTCTCTTTTACTCTTTAAGGAAACGGTCTTTTCAGCCTTTCAGAGCTTTCTCTCCAGGTATGTCCCTCTCCTGCCCATGATGTATACAGTGCTTCTTTTCCTGAAGCTCTTGCTAGCTACCCTGTACCACAAATGTTCAGTCTCATAGTAAAGTGAATGTTTTTCCTTTTCAAAACGTTTTTCTTGAGGATCAGTATTTCAGCCTCTGCAGTCTGGATTCTTTCCAAATTTTAAAAAAGCTGGTGAGGCCAACCATTTTCTTTCAAGATAAGCAAGATGGCCCTTTTCAATTTGTAATCCATTTTAAATCTGGGGACATTTATCTGCCTGTTTCTGAAGGGGGGTAGTAAAATAGTTTTACTTTTGAAAAAAGGACATCTTGAAAATGCTTTGTCCAAACTTCCGTAAATTTGGCAGAGCTAGAAAAGGGGCAGAACATCTGTGAAAAAGATAGGATCTGGGTGCCTCAGGTACAGAGGACCAGCATGGGAACATCACCTCACTATGGAACCCAGGTAACACTGTGATACCACACAAGATTTAGTTAATGAAAAGGACTGATACATCAGTATATAAAAGAGAAAGGAATATGGCTTAGTAACATGTCTTGAACAAGTTATGTATTACTTCACTATAAATAGTTGATTAAGCACATTTGTTTCAGAAACTCTTCTCAGATGACATAATTTGGACTATGGTCCTATGGTTGCCACATATGTGTGTTATGTAAATATATCTGTATTGTATACAAAGCTATGACGGGGAAAACATTTTATTAAGCAAGCAGCTCTCCCTATTAAATTGTAGTGACTTTCTCATGATGGGAGGAGTCACTTCAACATTCTCTCAAAAGAATTAGGAGCTTGTTTTTTTACGCTACAAAAAGAAAGTCTTGGCTGAGAACCATGTTGGGGGGGGCAGAAGTAGATTATTTTTTGTCTCAAGAAAGGAGATACAACTGGCCAAGGACAATGCGACAACACAGCTCAAATCAAGCCAAGCTGTCTTGGATGAGTACCTTCTGTATTGTCACACAAGGTGCCCTGATTTGTTTTCGGATCATCATTAATACCTACTGAAACAATTCTCAGGACTTAATGAACTTCCTTGAATGCAACTGCAATTTGTTGGCTCCAGTCCGGAGTTCTCATTGAGCAAACACATCCCAATACCCTGCAGCTACCAAAGTTGCAATGTGCATGTAGATCTTTTCTTTCTTTAAGCCCAGGAGCCAACAGCTATTTAACTGGCTTCACTCAGCTGCTTTTAAATCTAGCTGCTCATCCAGGAATCCAAGGAGGGGAAAAAGGAGGAGAAACATAGGCAAAGAGATTTTGTGGGAAGATTTTGTAGGAAGTACAGAATTCTCTAATACAAAAGAAAGTAATTAAACTTTCAGTACCATAAGGTGTGGTGAAAATTATTGGGGTTATTAAACTCTAGCCCTGATATATAAGTTTTGCAAAAGCTGCTTTATTATGCTGCCATGTAGCAATAGTGAATAATTTTCTTAATAGCTGTGGCAATAAGTAGGTTTCAGCAGGTGGCACAGAAGTTGCATAAGAATCCTGTGGAACTTGTCTGCAAAGTTGCTACATACTGATTTCCCCCCTTTCTCTCTCTTTAACAAGCTGTCTCAGATCTAGAAAAGCAGCCTCTTTACCTGGCATATGTGGCAGCACTGTTGCATCACAGCAGATGTCTGGGAAAAGACAAATGCAGCAACATCAGATGTTTAATACAGTAGCTAGATCTCATGCTACTTACTCTCCATTGTGCTGAGTTTAGACCAAGGTGAGGCAACTGCCTCTGGTGGCAGGAGTTGTGACGGAAGAGTAGCAGCAATTTTCCCAACATAACTCTGGTTGTTTCTCTTAAGTCCTAACTTGTATAAGAACAAGCTCCAGAGTAGTTTTTCAAGGGTAAGTACAGCACAAACTGGAGTAAGGTGGGGAGCAAAGCAAGCATAACTCCCAAAAGGTACATTTTATATAAAACATGTCTCTGTAGCTCTACCACAATTCTTTGGGTGTAGGAAGAGAAGGGTAGCAGCATATTATTTTGACTTTTCAAGGTTTCCCAGGTGCAGAATACTTAGAAGTGGTTTGCCATTCCCTTCTTTGGGGAGGAGGGTGCCCTAGGACTGCAGCTTACCCAAGGTCACACAGGCTGGTTCCGCTAATAGGAGGCACGGTGGGGAATTGAATTCCCAACCTCTGGCTTTCCAGCCAGATACCTAAACTAATGAGCTATCTATCCACCCAGCTTTAAAGCCAAAAATTCCCATCTTCTATAGCCATCTTGTTTGGTTGCTGTTGCAGACAGAATGTTGAAACAGATAAATCTTTGGGTCTAAAGCTGTTCTCCCTTTTCTTTTTCTTAAGGAACTCAACTAGGGCCAATCTAATACACTGTGTCACCTAAGACACAGCAGCAATGACTCTCACCAGCCAAAGTATGTAGTGCCCCTGAAAATATGTTTACTTGGCTTTAAAAGCTCATGTTTAGAGTTACAGAACTGTAGAGCTGGAAGGAACCTCAAGGATCATCAAGCCCAACTCTCTGCTGAAGGAGGAAATCCACATCTAAAGAATCTCTAACCTCTGTTTAAAAACTCTAGTGAAAGAGTTTACAACTTTCTTCAAAGACTGAAAAGAAAAGAAAACTGGGCAGTAATGCTGTTCTCCAAATGCCAACTGTTTAGACACTGGCCAACATTCCATAATGTGTATTAACACAGGAAGGCCAACATCATTATTCTTCCATTTGTGAAAAAAAGAGAAATCACTGGATTTAGCTTCTCTTTTCTGACACAATGCTTAAAAAAATCTGTTACTTGAAAATCACCTGCAGGCAGAAGGGTAATTTTGGAACCACCCAACATATTATCATTGCTCAGAGGAACACTGTGTCCTTCTGAAAACAAATGTCACACTTTCCTGGCAAGCAGAAGAGAATTATGAAAGATTCTAATACAAACTAATTCCTTGAATCCGTAACATTTGAAGAAAAGATTCATATAGTACTGTTCAAAACACGCCTACATACAAGTCAAATTTTATTTAAAACTACATTTTAAAATTGCTAAAATCACAGTTAAAAAAAAAAGACAAGACAGCAAAGAAGTGAGCAGCCAGGCTAGAAAGCTCAGTTGTAGCTGTTTAGAGTTTTATGGGCCAATGTTTCACATGCCGATTCTAAAAGGCAATGTATGAAAAACTAATTTACATTTTTGTACAGATTACAACACATGAAATACAGAAGCAATTTTCTATAACCATCCATTGGTGAATTAGACCAAGAAGCCATTCTAAAAATCATTTTCATGCACTTTGTGCTCCAACGGTCTCTGTAAAAAGAAGAGAAAATACTGACAGTTCAGCAAGAATATGAAACCCATTTTTTATGTTAGCAATGCTTTGGCCAGGGATTTCCTCTGAACTTTGCACTCTAGTAACCTCAGACACAGGTGGGGCGTGGTGGCGCTGCAGGCTAAACCGCAGAAGCCTGTGCTGCAGGGTCAGAAGACCAAGCAGTTGTAAGATCGAATCCACGTGACGGAGTGAGCTCCCGTCGCTTGTCCCAGCTCCCGCCAACCTAGCGGTTCGAAAGCATGCAAATGCAAGTAGATAAATAGGGACCACCTCGGTGGAAAGGTAACAGCGTTCTGTGTCTAAGTCGCACTGGCCATGTGACCACAGAAGATTGTCGTCGGACAAAACGCTGGCTCTATGGCTTGGAAACGGGGATGAGCACCGCCCCCTAGAGTCGAACACGACTGGACAAAAATTGTCAAGGGGAACCTTTACCTTTTTTTTAACCTCAGACACACCCAATTTAGAACCAAAGTACAACAGAGTTTTTTGCTTAATTTTCCTTACTCATTCAAGTACAAGTACAGTGGTGCCTCGCATTACGTTAATTCGTTCCAGCGAAATCGCTGTAGAACGAACACGTCGTAAAGTGAAAATAAAAAAGCCATTGAAACGCATTAAAACCTGGTTAATGCGTTCCAATCGGCTAAGAACTCACTGTCCAGCGAAGATCCTCCATAGGGGCAGCCATTTTCGGGTGCCTGTGCAGCGAAAAATGACGCCTAAGCACAGCGGGGAGCCATTTTGAGCCCCCGGCGGCCATTTTGAAAACCCGACGATCAGCTGTTTTGATCATCGGGAAGCAAAAATTTGTTCCCAAAACAGGGAAGCGATCATCGCGCAGCGAAATCCGCCCATTCAAAACGTCCTTTTACGATCGGTTTTGCGATCGCAAAAACCTCATCGTAATGCGGATTCGTCGTTAAACAGAGCGCCCGTCTTGCGAGGCACCACTGTAGAAGACTACTCCACACAAAGAATCATATACACATAATTCCTATTTGCTCTGGAATAATTGGGGCCACACTTGTAGGTACATTCAAATCCTGCATTTTAAAAAAATAGTATCAGGCAATACTGGAAAATAAAAACAAGCATATAGCATAGGTGCTGCTCCACTAACTTTTATCAAGATGGACAAATCCGTGCATTGGATCACAGAGATACTGCTAATTCATCCCACTGTGATTAAGGAAATAGCTACTTACTTTAACTGACAACCAGCACGTCAAATATACCTACTCAAGCAGAAAACTGACAGATCTTGTTTCCAACTTTTTCTGAATCTGTCAGAACGTAAAAACTGGATAGAGTATATTAGCTGAGGATGAAGTGAGTGTAAGGAAATTAAAAAGCCTCACCAGGTTCCTTCAGCATTTGTGGATCTCCTACTAATTCTTCTCCATTATTTTCTGAACCAGCTAGTATTTCCGCACTGATACTGTTTGTTTCAGCCTCTGCCGCCATTTTTTTCATGAGATCTTCCTGGAAATCAGAAGAAAGAATAATTCTCCGAACTGGAAATTCATAGGCACTTCCCATACATGGTATTTGAGGAAATAAAGCATTTTGCTTTGTACATTTTCAAGTATACTGATTTTTAACAACTTACCTCAGAATAGACTGCAAGTTTAAGAGGCAAGTCCTCAACTTTTACAAAGTCATCTTCATCTGATTTCTGACTGATATTTCCAGAACCAGTCTCCTATGGACAGAATATTTTTAAGATAAGGTTCTCATTAATTTCTCTAGTCAAGTCTCACTTGTATATCACTTCAATTTCAACAAAAGAGTCAAACAAACATTTAAACCTCTCTCACTGAACTGAACAAAAATCTCAAGTGTTGCCTGTAAGTCATGCCAATTTCAGTAAGGCAGTCAAATGCATGCTTAAACTTAATGGAATCTGAAACTGATTGAAGGTTATTTGGTCATGGTTTAGGTGATTAATTTCAAAGCTCTCAAAGTCTAAAATAGGAAGCTTCCTCTTTGAGTGTATATACAGTGGACCCTCGACTTACAGACGGCTTGACTTTCAGACTTTTCGAGTTACACAGACTTCTCTGGCCGCAAAATTTAGGTTTGACTACAGCTGGAGAATCGACCTACAGATCAGAAAAAAATCAAAATGGAACAAAAATGGAACAAAAACGGCCGGTTACAGATTAATCGGTTTTCAATGCATTGTAGGTCAATGGAGACTTAACCTTCAGACTTTTCGACCTGCAGCCACCGTTCCAATATGGATTAATTCCGTAAGTAGAGGGTCCACTGTAAAAGAAATGGGCTGGGAAAAGAGTTTGCTAGGATAGAGGTGAGTGGCATAGATATATGGCTTTTGAAGGGAATGGAAACATTATTTAGTCCTTCCATCATGTACTATATAGGAAGATAACTTTTTAGAAAACATTAGTGAGGGAAAGGCTTCAGGTAGAACTCAAAAGGGACAAGCTCAGCAGTAACCAAAAAGTCTAGAAAACCTTTTGTTGTAGGCATTCACCAGGCCTAAATCACATTTTGCTGCACTAGTTAAGAAACTTTATGTTTAAAAGAAGAGGTAAAATGATACCACATGTCAAGCTATACGTACATATTCATTCACCAATACAGGAGACTCCGTATCAGGACTACCAACCACAGAGCTTTCAGGAGTTCCTGGTGAAGATTTTGTTTCCCCTTGTACTATGCCTGAAGTCTGACTTTCATTTTCTACTAACGAAGAGTCCTGTTCTTCCGTTAATACAGTGCTGGTATTAAGCTCCTCAGCACTTCCAAGAGTTAAGGGCTGTTTAGTTTCCATTATATTAAGGTACTGAGGGACAACGGAAGGAAAATCCTGATCATCTAAAATAAATGACAACAAAAAGAAGTATTTTTAATGCTAAAGCAGAAAAACTGCTCAGTAAAGGAACTGCTTGGCAGAGGAACAGAAAGAACCAGACACAATCAGCACAACACAGCAATTAAGAAGCAGGACATGCTTGTCAAAAGGCCAAATAAATACATTTATTTTTCAGAGCAATGCGGAACTGTTTACATCAGCAAAGCACTTTACACTTCTGTTCTATAAACATCTAATAAGAGGTAAGACCCACAGTCATCAATAATCTTGCCACAACCCTCCAAGCAAGAGCAGTATTTTCTCAGTAAGAGAAGCTGTGGCTTAAAGAAACTCTTTGCTAGGGTAGAAGAGACAGGATTTGAGCTAGGAACATGCTTATACAAACTCCCTTCCCTGCTTATTCTGTCAGATTTTCACTATTAGTAAGAGTTTAGAATTCATTCCTGGGTTTATTCAAAATCAAAGTCAGAAAGGAATCCATAAGCCCCTAATGTCTGTTCTAGCAGTTCTAGTCACAAAAGCCGCTCCAGTCCCCAGAACACACTTTTGCCATTTTCAAGCAGAACTGTTGATGGCAGCTGAAGTGGCTGACACAGGGACAAAGAACTTCTTCAACTGTGTGATTGCAGGACTCTTCCTTGTCTGGCTTGTCTTCTCTCTGCTGTATGTCCTTGCTTGTATGGTTTCTTGCCATTGCTGAAGCTGCTGTTTACCCTCATTCATGTAGCTCCTAGATGTGTCACCATGTCCTTGCCTCACCCGAGCATCCACACAGCTCTTGCTTCCCACCACTGCTGACACTACCCCACCTCTACATGCCTGCTGTTTGTTTTGGCATTTATGCTTTAATCGGCATAAAATGTTAAGAACTTCTATAAAAGGCAAAACACTTACACAATCTGAGGAGAAACCAGAGTTCAAAACATGAACTTCTAAAAAGCAACTTTCATACCATTTGGAGCAACACTTAATCTGTAAGTCATAGTTAACTTTTAAAAAAAATCTACAGGTTTTTAATCAGTACATTTGTGTATTTCATGTGCAAGACTCATCCTAGACTCACTCTAATTACGGCAGCTCTTGAAGAAATTGTCTTTCATTACATTCCAGGTATGTACATGCCTACAAAAATACAAAACGCTCCCTGTTCCATTTTTTTCCAATTCCATTTTTAGGAACTGATGTCATTTTTATTTTTAACAATGCAAATATTGGCTCCTAAGGAAAAAAATAATAATCATCTTACCTTTATCATGTGTAAGTTCTTGCTCTGAAGGTACAATTTCACCATCATTTGGCTTTTCAGATTTTGGTTCTAAAGCCTGTGAAGAAATTGTTTTAACTGATAAGAACAGTAAAAGCCAGGAATTTGAACTGCATTTTAATTAATTAAGGTCAGATAATGTCCCAATGTTATCTGTGATACACATTAACTAAATTATCCAGTCAACAGGAATCCACTTTTTTATGTTGTAAAATGTTTAGAGTAAAATCACTCTTGCCACTATGTATAATTTAGAAAACTTGTATCTTTTTTTCTGATAATGATTAATACAGCCATCAGCTTCCTTAAGTGTCCAAGCCTAAAAAGCTTGTCTGAAAGGACATGCTGCTTACCTATCACTGTAGTTCTTCAAGTGGTCATCAGCAAATTCACACACATGGGTTCTTTCTGCACCTAGACCAAACTCCCTTAGAATATTCCACAGCCTAAAAAATCCATTATGTCGATCCTCTGCACTGTGTATGCTCCATCCATTTTGCAGGGAATCCTCAGTAACCCCCCCCCCCCGTCTGCCACTGCCCAAAAACACAATCTGGCATGAGAGTCTGAGAGGAGTGGGTGCACTGTGTGAATTCACAATCACCACTCAAAGAACTAGTTACTGTACAAGTGAACAACCCATCCTTCTTTGTGGTTTGTGAATTACACATATGGGTGACTGACAAACTCACTTGGGACGTAACAGCAACACAAATGGTTACTGCTGTACCGAAAGCTGAATCAAGTGCGGAGCTCCAACTCCTGCGTCCTTCCCCCCAGCCAGGTCGTATCCAGTCTGTAATGCTTGACAAATGTTAAGGGTTGCGACCAACATTCCCTGCAATTCTCCGGAGCTCTGTACAGAGCCTCCACCCCCTGTGTGTGGAGTTCCAATGAGTGGATACACTCATTCGAGGGCACACACCTGCAGCTTAAAGGGAATGTTGGTTGTAACCATGTCACAGCTTGGCAGATGTCACTTAGCTGAACATCCTTTAGAAAAGTGGTGGAAGTGGCAACAGCCCTTATTGAGTGTGCCCACAAAGTCCTGGGACTGGTCTCCTAGCCAACTGGGACAGTGTTGCCTATCTATTTAAAAATATGTAGGGATGTGAATTACATGCCTTTTAAAAAGAAATTTAATAACCGACAAACGGCTTGTTTGATTTTTGGAAGTGTCTGGTTATGGAGATGTAGTACTCAAGAACACTCATTACAATGAAAAAATGAAGATAACAAGGGGAAGAAACAACACAGATGACAGCAGGGTAGGGTGGTGTTTTTTTTAAAGACTCAAATCCAAGAGGTATTTTTCTCAGCAGTGGCTGAAAGGAAACTCAGGATTCACAGCATGCGTAGGGTTCAGGGCAACAATCTTGTTAAGCTCTGAAATGGCTCAAGGGAGTTTCACACAAGCACAGAAAGAACCTGTATGTGTAATTCACGGACATCACAAAGAAACAGCATGTTTACCCAAGTATCAATTCAATTTTTTTGTTATTATATGTCTAGAAAACGAGTACATTGCTTAAATATGTCAATAAATCTTTCGAAACCATTATGAACTATCCAGCACCAATAACATCCTATTTTAATACCTGTTCACACTCATTTTCAGCTGTACTTTCATTGTTTGCTTGGAGGGAGGTTTGGACATCCACAGGTCCTTCTTCAAATTCATCTATTTCCTCATCTTCATTTTCATCTTCTCCACTTCCGTAATTAGTTAGTGCCTGGGTTTCTGCTTTAGACAAACCTAAGGTAAGCAAAACACATTTTAAATGTAAATAAAACACATGTGCATACATGCACACATGTATATTAAAACCATGAGATGGACACTGAAGAGCTATTGAAGCATTCCACAGGGAGATACATATAGATAATGAGGATGTTTGTACGAATCTTGCCCTTTGATAGAATACTTTCCATCACAAACTGCTTTTTAAAGCCATGTCAATTTCAAAGCCATGTGACAGTTATGTCTTCTGTTTAAACAACACAATTTCAAAGACTACTTTGGGACAGAGCTGCTTCTGTTGCTCTTCAAAATTTGCAAAGCAATGACACCAAAGAATTGTAATTAAAATTCCATTAATACATAAAAGAAACAGAGCCAGTGAAGACTGTTGTATCCCATAAACAATGACAGAACAATCCTATGTATGTTTGCACTAAAAGATGCCCTACCTACCACATTTAACACGTATGACTAGGAGATGCCCCTTCACAGATTGCTGCCTTGTCGTGGCGAAGAGGCTTGAGTAATTCAGAGAAACTATGGGCTATGCCGTGCAGGGACACCCAAGACAGACAGGTCATAGTGGAGAGTTATGACTAAACATGATCCACCTGGAGCAGGAACTGGCAAAGCCGCTGCAGTATCTTTGACGAGAAAACTCCATGGACAGAAACAAAAGCCTAAAAGATATGATGCTGGAAGATGAGCCCCTCAGGTCGGAAGGCGTCCAACATGCTACTGAGGAAGAGGGAAAGACAAGTATGAGTAGCTCCAGAGCTAATGAAGTGGTTGGGACAAAGCCAAAAGGACGCTCAGCTGCGGATGCACCTGGAAGTGAAAGGAAAGTCTGAAGCTGCAAAGAAAAGTATTGCATAGGAACCTGGAATGTAAGATCTATGAACCTTAGTAAGCTGGATGTGGTCAAACAGGAGTTGGCAAGAATAAACATTGACATCCTGGGCGTCAGTGAACTAAAATGGATGGGAATGGGCGAATTTAATTCAGACTATTATCATATCGACAATTGTGGGCAAGAATCCCGTAGAACACAGGTCATCAACCCCCAGTCCGCAACCCAGTTCCAACCTGTGGCCGGAGCCGGACCGACCCGCGGAGACAGATTTCCCACCCACATGCCAGCGCTGGCGTGAGTGCTCCCCCACCCCTTTATGCATGTGCCCAAGCGAAGGGGTGGGTGGGTGTGCAGGTGCTCCTGTGCATGCGCAGAGCGGGGGAGCGCACACACTCCCACACTGCTTCACGCATGCACCCAACAGAGCATGAGCATGTGCTCAAGAGCCCCGTGCGAGTGCAGGGGTGTGTGCCCCACCTTCCTCAGCAGCTCAGCCAGTCCGCGATCCCAAAAAGGTTGGGGACCGCTGCCACAGAAGAAATGGAGTAGCCTTCATAGTCAACAAAACAGTAGGAAAAGCTGTACTGGGATACAATCTAAAAAATGATAGAATGATTTCAATACGAATCCAAGGCAGACCTTTCAACGTCACACTTATCCAAGTTTATGCACCAACCACCCATGCTAAAGAGGCTGAAATTGACCAATTTTATGAAGACTTACAACACGTTCTAGAACCAACACCAAAGAAAGATGTTCTTTTCATTATAGAGGACTGGAATGCTAAAGTAGGGAGTCAAGAGATAAAAAGAACAACAGCTAAGTTTGGCATTGGAGTTCAAAACAAAGCAGGGCAAAGGCTAATAGAGTTTTGTCAAGAGAACAAGCTGGTCATCACAAACACTCTTTTCCAACAACACAAGAGGCAGCTCTACGCGTGGACATCACCAGATGGCAATACCAAAATCAGATTGATTCTATTCTGTGCAAAGGTGGAGAAGCTCTATACAATCAGCAAAAACAAGACCTGGAGCTGATTGTGGCTCTGATCATCAGCTTCTTATAACAAAACTCAAGTTTAAACTGAAGAAAATTGGAAAAACCACTGATTTAGATTATACCAGTCAGGTATAATCTAAACCAAATCCCTTATGAATACAGAGTGGAAGTGAAGAACAGATTTAAGGAAATAGATTTGGTGGACAGAGTGCCTGAAGAAATATGGATGGAGGCTTGTAACATTGTACTGGAGGCAGCAACAAAAACCATCCCAAAGAAAAGGAAATGCAAGAAAACAAAGTAGCTATCCAACAAGGCCTTACAAAAAGAAGAGAAGAGAAGGGAAACAAAATGCAAGGGAGATAGGGAAAGTTACAGAAAGTTGAATGCAGACTTCCAAAGAATAACAAGGAGG